GGGGGAGTGTGGAGGCGGAAGGCGTGATGGGGGGCAGGGAGGCGGGATGCGGAATGCGGAATGGCGGAATGCGCGATGGGGGGAAATGGGAGAGCGAGAGGAGAGAGAGAAAGGGGGTTGAGAGTGTGTGTGTGTGTGTGTGTGTGTGTGTGTGTGTGCGTGTGTGTGTGTGTGTGTGTGTGTGTGTGTGTGTGTGTGTGTGTGTGTGTGTGGGGGGGGGGGGGGGGGGGGAGGGGCGAAAGAGGAGGGACCCTATGTGACAAACAACAAGTCACCAACCATGCTGCTGCTGGACAGGTGCTGTTCCTGGCTGGCCCGGTGAGGCTGGAGACGGGCCTTTTATTCTTAATGAAGCGAAAGAGAACAACAAGTACAAAAACAAAAAGGGGAAAAGCAGAGACATGCATATGCACAAACCTGCAACGAAACGTGGCATGATGTTCCACTTGCATGGACTAAAAGTGATACTGGCTGTCCAGTTGATGAAGCTCAGTGGTTAGAGCACCGGTTGGAAATGCACATTGTGGTATGAGGTTGCGGGTTCCAAACTCAATCGCAGCCTTTTGCATGGACACCGGCAGGGCTTAGAATGACGCACGGCTGGACACACACCCCCTTGGGATGACGCAGGTAAGTTATTACAGACACTGCCTGTGCACCACCCAAGGGTTGTCCATGGTGTTGTATGTCGGGTCTTGATACTGCGTGGGTTGCTTGTTGCTGTTGCTCTCGTGGTTGTTCTGTTGATCTCCCCAGTCTGCTGGCATATCACACACAGGGCCGTTTGCGATTGTTGCTCAAATGGTAGAGTCTTCAGGTCACATGTCATAGATCATGGGTTCGAGTCTGGCGTGGGACTCTGCGGGGGTCTTGTCCAGCTTGGCCTGTCATCTCTTCAACGAAGACATAGTTCCCTCTACATAGTACTGCACATATCTGGCCTTCGGGCACATACATCTTGCTATACAGTTACACAGAGCACACATAGCCTTCGGGCAGACACAAACATGGCTCATGAATATATATACACATCGCCTACGGTCTCATACAAACATACATAGCCTCTGAACACACATGTACACACAACTATCATACCGAGCCTTCGGGCAGACACAAACATGGCTCATGAATATACATACACATAGCCTACGGGCTCATACAAACATACATAGCCTCCGGGCACACATGTACACACAAATATCATACCGGGCTGGGGGCGTCTATCAGGTACATGACGGGGTCTACTCATGCATGGCTTAGCTCTAGGGTAGGGTAGGGATATAAGTCGCTCCGGCTAGTCTGAGTTCCGCCTAGCCTTGGGTACGTTAGGGGCAGGACCGTAGGATGTGTAATGAACCCAGATCGTGAAGACAGATGTCAACAATGCAAGTCCAGATGCAACAGCTGATGATTACCACTAGTCAAGATAGTGTCCAGACAGAATAAGACGAGATAATCATTCACAGACGAAGGAGAGAGGAGGGAGATTAGACAAAGGAGAGGAAGTAAATACAATGCCCACTCCTGCTTCGGGCTCCCTCCTCCAACACCACTTCAGTAATCAACAGTCTGAACTAGTATCTGTTTCAATGTGCCACGTGGCACTACTAATTAATCCCTCATCAGCGTTGGAGCAATGTCATCATGAAGACCACCAGGTACGTATCACGATCTCTCCACAGTCCTGATCTTACTCTCCCTCGCAACCAGTCACCTCATGTAAGTAGTGTGGACAATGCCACATCAGCAGATGAGACAGGGGGCATATGCCACATCATCAATGAAGACCAAGAACAGTGCCACGTATACAGGAGCAGTGCCACATCATCATACCACGTAGACCATGGGCAGCGCCACATATACCAGAGGCAGCGCCACATCAGTATGCCACGTAGACCATGGGCAGCGCCACATATCTCAGAGGCAGTGCCACATCAGCATGCCACGTAGACCATGAGCAGCGCCACATATACCAGAGGCAGCGCCACATCAGCATGCCCCATAGACCATGAGCAGTGCCACATATACCAGAGGCAGCGCCACATCAGCATGCCTGGCGGACAATGCCAGCGTCGCCTCTCCCTCGTGTCGTCGTCCGGAGCTCTGATGCACAGCCAGCGTCCAGCCAGCGTCGCGCTAGCATAATGCCAGCGTCAAGTCAAAGTCAAGCCAGCGTTGAACCAGCATAGCAAGACTGAACGCTGACCACCTCGAGGCCAGACTTTAAGTAGTGTTTGACGAGGCTCTCTGGCCTCGAGTCTCCACCCCTCAGTCGTCCAGATTGAGTCACAGCCGAAGGCCTGGATTGTACAGTTGCAGAGTTCCCCCTTGGACTTGATGCTGTCTGGGTGCCTGCATACAGACAAGTGTGTGTGCTTGACCCGTGGCCCGGACTGGGTACCTTTGGACTGTGTGGGGTCCCTTACCTCGTTTTTGGCCTGGCTGAGGGCGGCCAGGTCGGCCCTCAGGTTTCCACCAGACATATGGTATGGGTTATTGCAGATGTGTCCATGGGCGCCCGCTTGCCTTGCTTAGGCACTCCTGCAGGGTAGACTCTCTGAATTGGGCCTGTAGAAGATTGCATGAGCCTGGCGTCCGAAGTTCCCGTACGGCAAGCTTCGTCCACTTCCGCTTCCACCCGGGCTAAGGCGGTTGGACCAGCCTTGGTGCTTGTCACTGCTGTCTGATCCAAGCTGCCCTCGATACTGGTACTAGGGTAATGGTCCTGAGTGCTGGTCACACTGAGGTAGGATAGTAGGGACAGGGGGTGCGCTGAGAGTATTAACGTGGGGATGGGTAGGGTAGGTGCCTATCCTGTCAGGACAACCACTGGCTGCCGTTGCCAGCAATCACTGCGGGTCTGGTCCTTGGCCTCTACAACACCCTGGGCTTAAAAAAAAAAAAAAAAAAAAAGCATTACTGGCCGTCGATTGTCCTTGCTCGTGGACAGTATCTCTCAATCCATGCAAGTGGGACCTTGCCAGCCCCCCAAAGGACCGTAAATGCCCCGGCATGTAAAAGGAAACCTGAAATGAGTTCAGAGATACTTGTGACTCTGTGAGTGCTATCAAAGTGACCCTCCCCCAAGCACCCTTCCACTGCAAAGTGGGTTGTTGTTGTTGTTGTTGTTGTTGTTGTTGTTTTTGGTCAGGGAAAGCCAGGCAGGCCCTGCTATGGCCTTTTATGTTCCAAATATCCTTTCTGGTGGCCCTCCAGAAAATTTAAGACTTTCTGGGCCCAACATTTCTATTTATAAATGTGAGGTGAAGCCCCAAAAGTTTCTGTTTTACATAATTCCTCTGCAGCCTCACAAAAATGCTAGCTGTCTCTTTGCGAACACAATCGCGGAAGCCGGCAATGGGCCCCAGTGGCGAGGTCCCACTAGCACAGAGGATTGGATTGAACTTGTGAATCTGGATGTGTTTCATGCAGAGATGCAGAAAAGCAGAGATCAATCCCATTTTTTTGCACATCTCCACAAACAAGTCCAGATTCAGGCATTCAACATAATCCTCCTTGCTAGTGGGACCTTCCCCAGGGGCTGGGCTTGGAAGGATATGAAGACTCTGGTGACGGACCCCAGGGGCTGGGCTTGGAAGCCTCATGATGGGTCTACCGACTCTACTCGGATCGTGCCTTCGCATCACCAGGCTGTGAGGCTTGGTGCCTATCACTACTGTCTGGTCCAAGTCACCCACCTAGCGGTTGGGTGATGGTCCTGAGTGGGTTACACTGAGGTAAGATAGTTCTGTTAGGGGGTACGCTGGGAGTACTGATGAGTGGTAGGGTGGGAGGTGACCTCGTATCTTAGGACTGCGAAGGCTCATCGCTCCCAGTGATCCCTGTGTGCCTGGTAATTAGCCTCTACAACATCTCCTGGACTCCGCAAAAATTCAAGTGCACCAACTTTGAGGATATTTTGCTCTCAGAATTTGGCAATTTGCGAAAAAAAATCCTCAAAAACATCGGGTGCATAGGGTTGGTGCTCATCTCTTAGCTATGTAGCCAAGTGCCTGATGGCCGGACGCTTGGCCCAGACACATTTGGGTCGGACATCTTGGACCCCAGTTCTCCAGGATCCCGGTCGTCCGCTTTCTGACGCATCTGGAAGCGCCACGTGTCTTGACTGAGGAAGATCTAAGCAATAGGATCTCAGAACAAGGGGTCAAACCCCCATTGTAATAGGGGCTCTGAACAAAAAAAAAAGGGCCCTTTCTGAAATGGCCCCTTCTGCAATAGGGCTCGGAACAAAAAAAACGGGGCCCCCGCAAAAGAAAGAAGATACAAGCCCCTGGCAATTGGGGAGTCTGCAAGAGGGAGGAGCCAGCAAAGAAAACCCTCAAGAACGTGCCTGATCCACACAAGACTTTAGACATAGAGAGTGATCCGATGCTGACCGACCATGACAGGGAATGTGAGAAGTGGGGTAAATTTCATTTCTCCAAGCCTGTTTTTTTTTTTTTTTTTTTTTTTTTTTTTTTTTTAATCGCTAGTACACGGGCCCAGCCTTGCAGTCCAACACTTGTCGCCACAAGAAAACGAGGCCAAAACGTCAAATGCTCGGAATTCAGAGTGTCAGGTCTGCGGCCCAGGTAGCCGTGTACTACTGGTGCTTTAAGCCTGGGGTGAACTTTTAATAGCCTAGCCAATCAAACAAGTTAGCCGTTTGAAAAGGAGCCTTGAAACATTCCTCAAGCTGGCCGATGGTTCCATGGTCCCCAGTGTAGAAGGAGCCATAGCAATTTTATTTCTGGGGAGGGGAGATAATTTTTTTTTTTTTTTTTTTTTTGTGTGTGTGTGGGGGGGGGGAACGCAAGGGTCAGAAGAAGAAGAAGAAGAAGAAGAGTAGTTTCTCAAGTTGATGAAGTCCAAGTTATGGGATGAAGGTTACAATGGGACTTGCTACACAACACAACATTTCTACATGTATCTGCACAGGAAATGTTGACCACATGCATTAGGACTGATCCGTAAGTCGGATTGAATCGGGACGATTGTTAGTCTCTGGATACATTTACAAGCTTGTGCAGTGGAGCGAGGCACAACATACGATGCCATCACAGGTATGGATCCTTTTCACTGGTCACAAGGAAAAGTTGGAAAAACAATGCTCGAAGTGATTCTGAGAGTGTCCGCTCTGCAACAATTGGCTGCCTAGTGCTGCTAGACCTCTATAGCCTAAATTATCCTGTACTGGTATACACTTACTCTATACTATAGGCCTAGACAGCTCTAGACAACTTTAGACGGCTATAGACAGCTATAGACAGCTATAGACAGCTATAGACAGCTATAGACAGCTACTAAAAAATAGACGTATATAGCTGTAGATTGCTGAGCACTTCATAATTCAATTGGTTGCCTGCTGCCTATGGACTCTATACCCTAGACAATCCTCTATTGGTATACACTTACTCTATAGCTATAGACAGCTATCGAAAGCTACTAAGAAAGAAGACGTATAGATCAATGTCAGTCACCACAGTCCTTGCTCCTCCATCTCAACGTACAGGATGCCCTACCTATGCCGTAACGCTGATTCTAAGCAACACATCAAGCCAACACCTCAAGTCAACACCTCAAGTCAACGCATCAAGTCAACACATCAAGTCAACACATCAAGTCAATACCTATTTCTGGCTCCTCCATGTCAATACATGACATGGCATGCCCTGCCTACGGCAAAGCGCTATTTCTAAGCAACACATCGATAGGAAATCGCATGGCGTGCATATAAAAACTGAGACCTTTATGATTATATCAGCATTGGTATGTTTACTATTACTACGAAATCCCACCGTTGATTCTCAAAAGTCCGTCACTTCAGCCCTCACCTCAGCGCCACTTCAGCGTAACGCCACCGTCACCAGTCAGATCCACACCTATCCTTCCAACAAGCTGACACACGGGGGAATGAATGAATGAATGAATAAATCAGTCAATTAATAGACAATGCAACATCACCAAATTTACCTCCCCCCCCCCCCCTCCCCCCCTTCCCCCCCCCCGCCGCCGCCAAATCGCTCTGTTTGATGGTGATGGAATCTGAATGCCAAAGCAAAACAACAACACTTCATTGACTGCAAGTGAAGAGACACAAACCAAGCGGACAAAATATTTTCACCTGAAAGAATTGGAGCACGGTTTTCTCCGGAAGAAATGCAAAGCCTGAGGAGCTTCTTCCCTGCTGCCGCACATCCGCCTGCTCCGTCCTCCTTCACCCACCCGATGGAAATGCTCCAGGCGACGGCAAAAAAAAAGCTTGCAAACAAATCAGTCGCTTGCTCGGACACCGTTCTCCCCAGATGAAGGTTCCATAGCCCCTAAATCGAGAATCTGGATGTCGTTTATGCAGCCCTCGAACGGATCGGAATCATCGCTTCCAGAGTCGTGCACTCCATGGTATTGCCAATCATCATCCTCTGACAAGGTCGGCAACGCCGCTACCTTCACCGCGAGCAGGTCCGTCATCAGCGCAACAGTGCTCGACTGTGAACAGGTGGCCAGGAAGGGATCACACTGTGGACCAAAGGTTGAAATCCTATTGGTCCCATCGGTCCCATCGGTCCCATCGGTCCCATCGGCAACGTGCTCATACTGACTAGTGTCGCCAATCTTCACGATCAGCCTTCGTCTTGCGTTGCTCAACTCTTGTGCAGCGTGGTATTCTATTCCTGGTTGGTCCGTAACAACGATTTCCAGCAGATCGGGAACCAAGCGTTCATTACTCGCGAGTGACCGCAGCAGTTCGCTCGTCAACATCCCCTTGATCCTGGCGTTTCCAGTCACAGAAAGACGTTGCAACTGGGGGCATCCTTCAAAAATGTCATTTACGCAGGCATCACCGACATTTGTGACAGAATGCAGTGCAAGCTGTGTAATGCAACCACATGGGCAAAAGGGCAACAACCAACATTCCAACCTGCAATCAGTTCAGCAAACTTCAATAACTCTCTGGTGCGCACACTCCTACACAACGCAGCATACCGAAGAGTGCGACCCTCCCCAAAAAAAAAAAAAAAAAAAAAAAAAACACTGAATATATTCACGCACTCGGGCCGAGTATCCACAGGACGAGACTACTACGGTAGCTCCGAAACCAATCCTGAAGCGAAGATCGAACTCTGAGAAAAAAAGACGCGATCAGGGGCGGATGGGTTGGAAACATCTTTTTGCAACCTTCAAAATTCAAGGCAAAGGAAGATCTATTATGTGACTTTTGTTGTCCCCGTTTTTTTTGTTTAAAAAAATAAATAAAAAATGCAGGCTTATCTTCTCCTCGTATGGGGCCCAGCCGCATTCCTGACCTATAATTTCTCATGACAAGATGGTCATTGCAGAGTTAGTGGGGTTACAGTGAATGCCAGGACGATAAAAACACAGGCAATACAGGAAGGGAAGCTCAGGTACCTGGGCAACAGCGGAAGAGCAGCTCAGGTCAGGAACCTGTGTCCCCTGACATCTGTGGTCTGCTTCCCACCCTGAGCCAAAAGACCCTCAGCAGGCATTGACATAGCCTTCTTTTTCTTGTTTTTTTTTTTTTTTTACTGACGTCATCGTTTTGCAATCAGACTAGACTCTGGACTTGCTTATAGCATGCGCACTTGAGAACCGATCGCAAAACTGAACTCTTCCAACTCAGAAACAACAACGAACTTGTATTAATCAACTGTATGGCCGCTGTCTTCTTCACAGCCCACTTCTTCTCCGGGCACCTGCAGACCTCCACGCACAAGATACCAAGGCAGCACTTCCGCACGGCTCACAGGCGAAGGAATGAATGGCTGGGCGCTGCCTGTTTATTTACACTTCTTCAAAGCTACCCGGGCCCTGCCTCAAACCGCGTGGGCCTGGGCCAAACCGCATGACAGCTGGGCCCCAAACCGCGTTTCTGGAGCCTTCTGTTCACCGCGTGGGCCAAACCGCGTGGCCCTGGGCCCATACGCGTCTTCTGGAGTCTTCTCCAGAACGCGTAGGCCTTTTCCTGCCCCCACGTGCAGCCCCTTTCCCTTAGTACCTGCTGACTGGACTGGACTACAGGGTCCTACGGACTTCTAGAATCTACAGACCGACAGACAGACTCTAGGCCCACAGTAGACTCAGGTAGAGACTTCTAGCACAGACTGTTTAGGACTACCGGTAACAGACTCAACTCCTAACCTACAGACCTACCGTCTTCCCCCAAACATAACGCACCCTAAAAATGAATGTATACAAGCTATATTTCCGGCCAGATACAGCCAAAATAAGGGTGCGTTGTGTTCGGGGGAAGACGGTAGGGATCAACTCCTACACAGATCACTGGGCCTGTGTACAGGGTACAGGATAGGTCTAGGGATAGAATCTCACTCAGCACACAGGGTCATTGTACAGGGTACAGGGTAGGTCTAGGGATGGAATCTCACTCAGCATACAGGTTCAATGTACAGGGTTAGGGCACAGGTCTGGGGAGTCTGTGTCTGCAATGTCAGGTCAACTGGGTGAAACCGTTTCAGTTTTATGTTCTTGCACACTTGATAAACTCCTCCGTGATCCGTGCAATGGAAAACTGCTCCCCATAAAAAAAAAAAAAAAAAAAAAACCGTCTCCCCATACCTCGGGCGCTTTGTGGTTCCCACTATATCACACGTTTGTGTTACGGATGTTTTCTTTTACCTTTTTTTACAAACCTACCTGTCAGCAACAGTGTGCTTTTTTTTCTTCTTTTTTTTTCCCGTTCTTCTTTTTTTCCCCCGCTCACCGGCAGCAGCCAGGGGTATTTAAATAGCCAGACGAAACCCGGACCAGTCGTCTCAGGGGAAAGCCACATGTGGATGCCATAGGTCCGCGTGCATGCAGCACAGGTTGTCATAGGTCCGAGTGCATGCGGCACAGGTGCACAGGTCCCTCTCTCTGCAGGCAATGAGAGTTGAACTTACGATCTCCACCACGCAAATCAATGGCCTCTCCCTGTGTTACGGATGCTTATAACAACATCAAACGGAAAAGAAGGTCCAAACGTTCTTAGTATTTATCAAATCCCACGGTTCCTCATCACGTGTGGCTGAGTTTGTTGTGCATGCTCACATTTTCGGAGACGAAAAAAAAGCCAATCAAACAAAAACAGGTCGCCTCGGACTCACCCAAGAGCCTACCTCAGTGGGTACACCCATGAACTGTTGCAAACACAGACCCGTGTTCGAATCCAGATAAGTAAAGTTATAAAACCGACTATTTCACTGAATTGGCTGGGGCCATTCAGCTTAATGATGATATCTCAAGGCCGTCGCCCTTCTTATTAAAAAAAAAAAAAAAAAAAGGTCACCTCGGTCTTACTGTTTTGCCAGACCAACTCATTGGGAAGTGGGATCTCAAACAGTCTGGACAGCATAAACCCACACTTGTGATGCCCAACCTCACGCCCAGCACAACTTCCTGATCGGAGTGGGATGGGGGCCCGGAAGTGCGAAAAAGGGGTGTGCCAAGGATTTTAGGAAAGTGGGGGTGGAGTTCCAGGTCGGAACTGGAATCTCCCGTGTCGAGTTCCAGGGGTAGAAGTGCAAGTGTCTTCTGGCTCAGAGTTGGGGCGATTGTCGATCGTGCGGCCTGGGCCGGGGTGGGGTGCTACGGGTGTCTCTGCGGGAGTGCTCGTACCGCTGCCGGCCGCCGCAAATCTCGGAGTCCGACGAAGACGAGCTGGGTTCCCGTCGCTCTGTCCTGGGCTGGGTTCGTTGCGTGGCCCTCGCCTGCCGATACTCGACGGGCTGCCGACACTCTGAGCATGGCGGACGGGGCCAGAACCGGGCTATGGAATCCCAGGGGACCACAAGTAACTGGTGGTAGGGAAGGACGGTATAGCAGGGAGGGAAGTCGGTGGTAATGGCAACGAAGCCTGGGGTTAAAAGATATTGCTGGTTTCGGCTGTCGGGATAATCGGGAATCCGCGGGTCTCGGTTGATTGCCAGCTGGAAGTCGCCCCTGCACAGTCGCTCGTTTTCAGTCCGGCAGGGGTACTCGAAGTGCCCAGGGTTCCGTAAGGGGCGATGTTGTCGGATCCGCCGCCGACGGATTTGTTCCCTCTCCCAATACGTTCGGTATTCTGGGTCCCTCGGGCTTTCGCGATCGGTGATCCAGAAGGGGGATTCTATCGCCATGTCTCCTTCAGCCGAGGTCGTGCACACACATCTTTCTACGGGGCGATATGTAGCTGACTTTTGCAGACGCGCGTGTAGATGGCAAGTCTGCGGACGGCTGCTGTCTTACACGTGTGTGCGCACCAGCCAGTTGATCAGGTCCTTAACTGCACGAATAAACAAGGAGCGATCTGTCAGCGTACCAGATCAACCATGCAGCTAGTTCCCTTAGGCAATCAATCTCGTTCCCATAGGTGAAAAGGACTATTGATCATTCACAAGCATACACACCCAGAAGTTTCCGTAATCACTGATCAAAAAGACATCTCAAAAGGAACGATACAAGCTCATTCATCGTCATTCCTGCATGCATACATACAGCAAAAGTCCGAGATTTACTCAAGAAATTCCAGAAATGCCGCAATAAAAATTGACCAACGTTGAAATCAAAATTTATACAAACAGTAGGGAGAATAGACACTATTCCACCATATCCTCGTCTCTCTCTCTCTCTCTCTCTCTCTCTCTCTCTCTCTCTCTCTCTCTCTCTCTCTCTCTCTCTCTCTCTCAATGCGGGCAGTCCGTCGCCCCGCACCCCCAACATCCACCCGAGTCGTCACCCCGCTTGGCGTGAGTATGCAAGCCAGGTTCGCCCACGTGCCACAGTTCGTCGCGGCCACGCGTCAACCCCGCGCACTCAGCACCAGTTCGTCGGATCGCCCGACTCTCTACTCACTGTCTTTCTGCTAGTTAGCCGATCCTCTCGACCGCGCTAACTCCCAAGTAGGTTAGAGAGACAACTAATCGCGCTTGCAGAATTTATAGCATGTATGCTTGCGCGAGGGATACGGGATTAGCCCCAAGTGATGAGAAAAAGAAGGGAGGGAGTGCCTACGTTTGCATGCCCAGGCCGCGGCGTGGGGGACGAAGCCACTCTCCGCGCATCGATCCGGGCATGCAACCGTGGGAACCACTCAGAAACAGAGGAAGAGGGTGCATGAGACGACAAGGCGGGAAAGAAGGAAATACAAAAAGTCATCAAGAACAAGAAGATTACAATTGCGATTGCGCCTGCCAAAAATTACAGTTACACACTGGATTAAGGCGCGGATGGATTCAGAGCCCAGACCCTGTCGGGTCACGGCGCGTGCGAGCAAGAAGCGTTGTGCCGCCAAATTGCAAAGTGCCTAAATTCCTAGTCTAAATCCTAATTGCAAGAGAAAATCCCGAAGGGAAAAAGAAGGAAAGGAAAGAAAAACAATTCCGAGAGCCTACGGGGGCTCGACAGAGGTTCAAAATTCAAAAACGAAAAATTCCTGCGCGCTAATCGCGCCAAAATTCCTAGGGCGCATAGCAGAACTAGAAAGAAGCTATGGCGACCGTTTTTTCTCGCGCTTGCCAGGGCACGGTCATTTTAATCGTCGACGCGAGACTTTCCCGGCACCGGCCCGGCAATCTCCAACCGAAAACGAAAAAGAAGCGAGGGCACCCAGGCAACTTGCCCCACCAATCCCGCTTGCGCCCCGTCACCCATCAAAATCCTCCCGTCTCCCCACAGCAGCCCCGCGCAGGAAGTTGCGCGGTTACAGAAGATAGTCGGTCACACACTTACCCAAGTCTGTGATCCCCGTGTCAGCCCAGTGCCACTACTACCACAACACCCAGGTCACCCCCTATGTGCCCAAATTCCAAGCAATTTAAAATTTAAACACAGACAATTGCCTCAATGCAGTCCCTTAGTGTGTGAATACCAGAGTGAGA